TTGCGGAGGCTGAGGAATGCGGAATGTCTCACATGACCTGGGCATCTTTGACGAAATGAGACTGTGACGACAGTGCCCTGACTCCATTCATAGAAAGGGGCTAAATAATATTTTTTTGTGCTGCAGCAGCAGCCGACGTACCTTGGTCGCTGTTTGAGACGACGCGCATCTTACCAATGTGCGCAAGGATGGTAAATAGCGGTGGAGCAAAAGGAAGGTCATATGACCAAAGCCAGGCTGGGATTTGAAGACGGAAACGAAGAGGGAGATTCATGAGCGCGAGTAATATCATAATAACAGCTGTGATGCGGTCAACGGCTCTCAATGATTAACTGTGCTGTGAACCGATCTGCTTGCACGGACGAGCACATTTTCTTTGCAAAATATACTCCGTACGGTTGTAAAAAATTGGACATCGTAGGGTCGACAGTGCGTACACTATCTGGTATCTTCATATCAACTCCCTGAACACCTAGACAGGCAGTGATGATGACAGTTAGTTGGAGCGCCCCGTATTAGTGTCAAGCACAGGGCCTTACAGATACAAGCTTCATCATAAGACCCCTTACTCCGTAATATTTATCCAATCCCGGGAGAGACCAGTACATAAGTAGCTCGTTCCACGACTGAAAACTTGGACCCTGTCTTGGTAGAAAAGGGACAATCTGTTGCCATACTCTAATTCCCAGCCTTGAAAGGAGGCTCTCAGGGCTACCAGAGTGCTAGGGGAGTGAGACCAGCATCTTCCAGCCGCTTGGGACCGCCGTTCATGAGGGACGCGAGGTCTCCATCCAAGCTTCATCCCCTGCCTGCATGTCTAGCAGGACAAAGTGACAGAACGCCCTGAACCACCCCTGTTCCTGGTTTTGGCACAAAGAGATGTGGCGTCGCCGAATAGAGACCCGTGCCGTGGCTGTTTGAGAATTTATGCTCAGAAACGGTCCCGCATACGGTGGGTACGGTAAGACAGCCGAGCTCCAGGAACATACCGTTTTTGAGATGGATAATTATTAGTAGTTCAACAAAAAGGTGACCAACTTTTCGAGTGCGTCTCTTTTGTGTGTCAACTTGGCAGCTTTTATCATCCATCGTCCTCGTGCTCTGTACCGCAGTCAAAGTTGCAGCTTGTTTCCACCAGATTTACACGCACAATGAAAGCTCGCTCAGGTCAAAAAATTCCATTGCCATCCATCCATCACTAGAGAATATGAACCCGGGTAATTCGATCATGTTCGAATTGGTTTCCATTTCATTTCACACCGAAATCGTCTTGCCATCGTCCGCACGGGCCACTGTAGCAGTCCGGGATGGAACTGCCGGGAGCCAATCTCTGCTAGCTTGAGCAGACCACTCAACTAGTGGATCGTGAATGTTGAATGCCACACTTCATCTAGTTGTGACGTTCTCCGGGTATCCCCACAGTGGATCGAATCTCAAGGGTGCATGACGCCGGGAATTTGAATCTGTTAGCTGTTAAAAAGCAGGTCAGTAAATATCCAAAATCTCTACATGGTATAAAGTGCGGTGACCAGCAACATCGGATGACGTCGAGCTTGACCGAGGCTCAGGGCTACGGGCTAGTAAGTCCATCCAGATAGGTCTGGTCGGACGACTGGAATGAGGGCAAACAATGTTCTGATGAGGCTGGTTTCCTTGGAGCGCTTCTAGGTACGTATCTTCAATGGACTAGTGGCGGATTCGACTACCTACCTAGGTACCTAGGTAGGTAGGCTTGGAGGAGTTGCAGTCATTGAGAAATCTGGAAGCAGACAGTTAGCAAACGTCGAGTCCAAGCTCCTAAGCCACGGCCAAGCCCTACCGCTTCATGATCGACAGTCTTAAACGGTCACTCGATCTACTGCCCGCCTCTTCTCTGCATCTCGCATCAACGCCGTATCCGGCAAGGCCTGATGTGGGGAACTAGCTCTCCGCGTCGACGGCGCCTCAATCACCAAGAAATAGTTGGGGTCCTAGGTGCGGTGTTGCAAGACCAGCCCGTTGCAGGAAAAACCAAACGTGGGTATGAGTGCTCTATTCCTCGCTCCGGATGTGGTAGAGTGTAAAATCGAAACGCGCAAAAAGTGCGTGGCCCTGGCGGACATCTACGCTGACGCCAGTTGCCTGCCCAGTTCTTCTTGCCTGCCGACCTATGTATGCGGGTGGCTCCTGCCCCCAACGTGAAAACACTGAAGAGGCGTCCAGTCCAGTCAGTCCTGTCCTGTCCGTACTTTTTGAAGAATTCCGCTTTGTCAAAGAGAAAGACGAGCATGCATTGAGCCATCTGTATTGTGATGGACGCATTGATACCCCCTTGAAGCCTATCTATTGGCTGTATGCGACTTCGATTACGTCTGTGGGATGCAGGTTCTGATTCCCCCGTGAGAAGTGTTCCCGGTCTGCCCGCCTCTACTGGCCGCTTGTGCGGTATGCGAACACCTGTTGGCCTCCCATTTCACCACTGAGTACACGCAGCACATAGCCTCTACACTCCGGTAGAGTATGCAAGCGTTTGCCGGATAGCTTTTCTGACCCTGGCCTGGCTGCTCGTAGAGCTCGGTGTGGCTGCTATAGCTTGCAATAGCTTGCCAGGCAGCAGCATGGGCAGGTGAAGCAATTTGAGAGCTCGGGGATCCGTTCCGCAGCACACCATCAATGTTTTGGAAGAACTTTACCAGTCCCGTCTAGACTCGACAACTGGGGTGGCCATCAGCCGCGGAGCACGTCAACGAGGGCCGGGAGGGGGGGAAAGGACTCTACCTGCAAACACAGAAATTCAGGCCGAACAGTGACCGAAATCCGAAGCAAGCTTCATGACATGGGACAATTACTTTAGCCGAAAAGACACGGACCATTTACTGCCCTTCCATTCGAAGACGAGAAGCCACGTTTGATGGTCAAAGCTATCCCCTAGTCTCCCGAGCCCATGGGGACCTTGAAGCTCGGAACGTGGGGATCCAAGCCGTGGCCCAGTACGCCCTGAGCTGGGATGTCAATGAGGTAATCTCACAACTGGTCATGTGGTCATGCTGAATTTTCTCTCCCCGGTCTGCTGTCAAGTCGAATCAGCCATGTTGCCCGAACCTCGCACATCGCATCACATCCAGTCTTGATACGGAGCACGGAGCACATTGGCGATGAAAGGACCCAGGGCGTGTAGCGAGATTTCACCTGGATTGAGGAGACAACAGACAAAAGCCATTTGTTCAACTGGCGTAATTGGCTCCTTTCGAGGAGTTTCTTTCTTGCTTCCTTCTTCCTTTTTTGCTATAACGAGGAAACAGCAATTTCAAGAAATTGACAGGCTTGTTTTTTCTTTTTTCATCTTAATGGAACTACAGCTAAATCAGGAACCAGTATGGAAGATCTACAAAATTTTTACCGCCTCCCCTCTCCAAAATCCGCGGACACTTTACCAGCAGCATCGACATGCCGGAATAGTCAAAAAGGCGAAACCTATCCACTCGGCTTGTGCCAACCTGCAGAAATTGCTAGCGGTAAGCCCCCGACCAGGTCCAGGGTGGTAGGAGATTGCCAAGCTGCCTCTGACAACTTTAAAGCCGGCACTCAGAATAGCACAGATATGTACGGAGTACTCCGTAGTATGCTCCGTACCGTACAGCACACCCCTATGCATAAATCTTGGCGCACTTTTAGCGCGGTTAGAAGAGCTTCCCCCAAGCTGACTGCTTGAAAAAGCTCGAGTCTCGACGAGTGATTGGTGTGCCGCACACCGATGCCCATGAGCTACATCAAGAGATGCACGAGACGTTTGTTTACAGTCTGGCAGCAGTGCCGCGAAACATAATTGGGGTATGTGAAGACCTTGCTCATACTCATTTCGCCACTACGTATCAATAAGAGGAGAGAACAGGCGTTGCTGTTGCGGTTCGTCGAGGCTAGACCTTAAAAGCATTTGGGACGCTTTGCGTGACCCTATTCCAAGGCTCATGCAAAACCACTGGTCGACAACATATTTGAAAGCTTACGCTCCAAGTCGAGACGGGACTTCCCTGTTTGGCAGGGTCAAAGGGAGTGGTTCACCAGTGTGACTTATGGTTTTTGGCTCAGCTTGCAGTTTCAAGCAATAATCGCAAAATATACCGCCCAAAAAAGACGTGGCAGGTCCAGCTGTTAGTTATTAGGCAGACATATTTCTGACTTCCGTTGAGCTCCACCCGCACAGGTAACAGGTCTCACCTCGCAGCCATTGAGATGAAGTGTTGACGCATCGAGCTGTGTTGGCGTTACATCCGCATTTGCTGATAGTGCAGGTGTCGCTCTGATCCCTAAGACCTGATTTTTACACCACAGTGTCTATAGCAGTTGTATTTCCATAAATACTACGGAGTTAGCGGAATAAATATACTAATATCAAAGCCCACCAACTCCACTGAAATGTGGGGAGTCAAAGCAATGGCCACATAGCACTTTTGTCATTTGATTCTGTGAAGAATTGATGGATGGGTGATTATCCAGCGGCATTTGTATTCGAAAGAACTTGCTAAATTTTGATTAGGGCTTGTTGGAGGGATTGATTCTCATAAGGTGACGATAAAATTTGCTCCGTGTATGACAAGTTTGATAAGCACTCGATTCAAGTGCCGACTGGCCCAGCCTTGCAGCCTAAATAAATTTGAGCTGGACCATACGCAGGCTATAAAGGGCGCAAAAGCGCATAACAACTATCCTGTCGATCATTCAAGTGATTCGGTCCTGGCTTGCAAGAACAACATTATCGGGGACGTAAAACAGCTTCCAGTAGTCAGGCCAATTCGTATAATTTTCCCGCCTAAGCTTATCGCTCCTCAACGCCTCTGCGCAGGATATTATCTTGTAAAACCATACCATCATACTATACACGTATTCTCAACCAAACCACTAGACCCCAGAACTCCCCATCTTCTCCGACACCAGATGCATACTGAAAGAAAAGCTCTTTTCTCGTTGGAATCTCCAACAATTTGCACATGAATAATCATTGAATTAGATAACAATCATCTTTAGTATTCTTCTTCATCCTCAGGCTGCGTTTTAGGACGGATTAAATCTAAAAGAGATGAAATATACGGACCCTGCTTGTTGTTAGTGTCGATCCGGTAGCATTTCTGAGTGAGATAGTCTTAATAAGGATCAGGGGACTTACCAAAGCTCGGTTCTCAGCGAGAACCTCAAATAGACGAGGCAAAACAGCCCGGAACAACTTCTCATTCCAACCACCCTTTTCAGAGTTGTTGGACTCTTGCATCTTGAGAAGTTCCTCCTCTGCTTCGGTCTTGACAACGTTTCGTGCAATATTGCGGAGTACTAGAACGGCACTGAGGGGAATACCAGCTGCCTGAGGGGGCAAGTTGGGGTTTCTCTCATCCCGGACAGTCATCGTCTCTTCATATGTAACCGCCATAGTCTTGGCTGGCACAACCCAAGGTTTTTGCTGGTTTTTGGTATCGTTGGGAAGAGCAGCCATTATGTGGGTGTTGACATGGCGCGCAAAGTCCTGCAATTGCAGGCTCGTTGGTGTAGCATATTTGGAACACTCGCCCCAAGTACACACAAATTTCCTCTCTTTGTTGCTAAACTGCCCGGATTCGTTTGCTTTCTCGTCGAGGTGTTTTGTTATAATATGGTTCCACATCTGCTCTGGCTTGAGAAAGAACTGCCCACACTTTTCATTTCGTTTTTCCGGATTGGTAGCCCATAGGCAGCGAACATATTCTGCATCTTCAAAGTTCAATGGGCGAGGCCGAGCGCGGATCCCGTGAATGATGAACTTCTGCTGTGGCTCCCCAGGTTCACGAAGGACTTGCGCGTTGGAATCCTTATATACGGAAGTACTGTTCCGAATGAAGTCTGCCGGCGTAATCATGGGTTGGCCAATAGCCTTCAGGGGGCCGACAAAAGCGGACTGGTAGGCTTGCCAAGCGGCTAGCTGTGTGACAAAAGAGTCATTATCCTCTTCGAAGAAGCATTTCACCCATTTGTGCACTCGATCGGGCTCTTCTAGCTTGATCATTTGCTGCAGCAAATCTTCTGGCATTGGAGCAATTTCGTCACGAGCTGGGAGCTTTTGCTCGGGAACAAGAATGAAGTCTCGGTGGACTTTTCTGGCTCCATGTGCCAAAAGCCGGACAAGATGGTCAACAAGGTTCTCCGGCGTGGTTGATCGGACGAGATTGTCCACATTAGCGACAACAGCTGTGTATTGGTATAGTAGATCCAAGCAGGCATCCATCAACTCATCATCGTTGAGCAGTAACCAGTTTGTAATGCGCTGGAGGGATTCTGCGGGTACATTGCTAAGCTTGTTCGTGGCTTCAAGGTTCATCGAGATGCGACCCAACGCTCGTAGAGAGGTTAAAATTGTACCTCGATCGTCAGATGACAGCTGTTGCAACAAAGTCTTGTACAACGGATCGTCGGAATCGAGGACCATAAATGGTGTGATCTGCTCCGCAATGTCCAACGCCATGTGCTTCAGCTCTGTTAGACAATCCTTAGGGGGTAAGTGCACGATGATGCAGATCAGGTCTTTGATGGGGTAGAAGTCTGACATATTCACCGCATTTTCTGGCAAAGTCACCATGTTGCGGAGAGTTAGGACGGCTTCCGTGATCAACACCATTTGGTCGGTATATGCTTCGGTTTGAAGGGCATCTGGCTGATCCTTCTCTACCAAGTTGGCAATACGGTCGAGAATATCCGGTGTTCCATTGTTGCCATCTAGGGAACCAATGCCACCAGAGTCTGCATACGGATCCCATGAAACGGTCCAACAAACATGGTAAAACAAGCTGCCGACCTCAAGGCCCTTGTCGACTAGCCCCTCTGCAAGGCCAGGGAAAGCGTCGAAGCGATACTTGTCACCCCGTTCGAAAGATATCTTGACGAGGTGGTTTAATGCAAAAGCTTGCTCACTTGGAACACCAGATCGTAGTGCATTCAGGCAACGGGTATAGATGTTAGGTCCATCGAATCCAGCTACGTTACGCATCGTTAGAAAGCCGACCAGCTGCAAAAAAAATCGAGTTTAGTTTTGAAGTCACTTACTGCCTGGTTGCATTGGCTGACGGCTTGTGGGGTCAACGAGAGCCGGCCGGTGAGGCAGACGATGCCGTTGAAACTCACTGGGAGCGCTGCTGGGAGTTGCAACAGCTCGTAGTTGTAAAGGTTTTAGATGTTTTGGTTGGTACGAGAGCACCATGTTGGAAGTGTTTTCCGAGTTTGATGGGTGATGCATGATAGAAGGCCCACGGCCCTGGTGGCCGCCGGGCGGCATTGGAGGCATGTTTGTGTGATGTGTCGTCTGTGAGTTTCCTTGAGCTGGAGATGCGCTTTGAGCAGCGTTTTGGACAGCCTGCCGAGTCGAACGACTGGGGCCTGTGTCGGGCTGGAAGATGACGCGCTGTGGAGGTGCCTCTCGAAGACCACGAGAAGCTCGGGAGCTTGAAGGAGCTTCAGGAGCAGAACGTTCACGCGTCGGTGTGCCGTCGTCACCTGATGCCGCAGAGTCACCAGCGTTCACGTTGCTGTCACGCTTCGGCCGGAAGTTCTCAAGCGTGCGGGTCAATAAGCTGGCACCCTTTGCGGTGACGTCCTCCAGAATCTCCTTTGGAGGTGGCTCTTTGTTGTGGACTGTCTTGATCTCGTAAGCGGCCAAGTTCTTGTAAAACTTTTCCTTGAGGGAAAATGCTGTCGAGGCTTCGTTGTTTGAGTGCAAACCCAACTCGGCTGCAACACGGCGCCAGGCCAACTTCTCCTCAGAAATTTTGTCGTAGCCTCCACTGGCAACGACGTGATTGAATACTTTGTATAAATCGAGATATATCAAACCAACTTTAGGTTCGGGGTCGAGAATGGTGCCTCGCTTCTCATGAAATTCTTTGAGCTTGGTCATAAACTCCTCATACTCGGGAGTGCGGTCGATGGAGTGCAGGGGCACCTCTTGCGGCGTCGTAGTCATTGCGGTTTGGTCGTCCCAAATCAGCAGTGAATAACGTGTCCGTTCTCTGCCGGATTTTGGACCGACGTTGTCGTACAGCTTCTTGCGCTACGACTTTTGACAAATTGCGCGTCCGGATCTGTGCTTGCGATCCGCCTTCAAATCCAGTGGATGCGCAATCAACCAGCGTTCAAGCGCATCAATTCACTGCCTGTACACGGCGCTCGCCGACCAGTGATCTTGAAACGATCGCAAAGGCGATGAATGCCCGAGCGAGGGATGTCGTTTAGCCGACGACTACCAGAGGGACGGATTGGAGACGTGTTGGCGCGAGACTAGTCGCGCCCAAATGCGAGGCTGGCAAAGGCTATCTTATCACCACGTGAGCACACACACGATTTGCAATTTGAATGGACACCAATCGGCAAGGTTCCTTTTGCTCCATACCTCCTGCAACCATAAATTGGTCGAACTCAATGAGGTTGCCAATTATGTGACGTGATACTGGGTACGGAGTACATCCATCAAGAACATTAAACATTCTTTAGGTAGATCTGGTTCATGTTCAGCTACGACCTGCGACCCGAACATCGCGAATGGCTCGATTTGCTTCGCCTGCATTGGGATGTCAACTTCGCCTGGTCGAGGTGGAGATCGGCGCAGCAAAAGAAACATACGACCCTGAGCAATTCAATGAGCCGCTAGAGTTAAGCCTAGAAGGGCAAAGGTCGTTGGGCTCCGATTGTGGTATTCTTTCGCTGCTGATTACCACCGGCACTAGACAAATGGTTCGTTATCATCACACGTGGAGTTCTCAAAGTTCTAACGCTCTCTGCCAGCTTTTAATACGACTTAATGACTTGTTGAGCCACCCGAATGGCACTGAAGGAATAATATGTGTCGATAAAGGGAGACACCAGCTTTGTGTAAAGCTACCAAATCGGGACCATATTCTTCGTGTATGGTTTGTTGAGGAGCGAGACTTTCTAATATCCGTTTGCATTCTTCGAAAATCTGGCTTCAAGATTGGCGAAGGCAAAGTAATTCAGCACAAGGGTACTGTCACTGCCAATACCAACAACGGATCCCAGCCCATAAAGACTAGCGCCAGCCAACAATCCCCATTCTCCTGTACCACACCCTTGGCCTTGTTAACTGCGCAAGCCAAGTCTTTATGCAATGACAATCCCAATCCTTTTCCCACAAGAAAACCCCAGGGTGGTAATATATTTGACGAGGTCCTGGAGAGTTTACAGAGGCTTAGTGGAGACTCTAAATCAGGAAATACTGTCCGGGGCGATCTATTATCTGAAAAACTCGGCTCACATGACCTGTCGTATCTCAATCCCTATCATGCTTTTTCGACAAAAAAAAAAGTCACCTTGAACCAGCCAAATGTTGGATCCCCGCTCAGGAACGTCGTGAACCAAGAACAGCGACATGAGTGTGAAATTAAGAAGTTGAAAGCTACCTGTCCGACCCCCAAACCAACAAGAAAGCATAGTCATCGGTACTTCACACGCTCTTTCTCGTCGTCGATATCTGAAGGACGGCAAAATAAAAAACCCTTCCCTTCATCGTCTCTAAAAGCGCAACGGAATGCTAGTGTGTCTGTGGATGAAATCTTCGCGGACAGTACGTCCAACGCCTTCTCTGCTAGCTTCGATTCAAGCCCAGCCGTCAGCCTGAGACAGCTCATGCCACGACGCAGGAAACTCCCATTTTCTACAGACGCCAAGAATACGCACAAAAAGTCGAGACCCACCGGTGAATCCGCAGAGGTTGATCCTTGTAGGGAATTAGGGACGCCACCAATGGCTCCAGGCGGGACACAACTGAACAAGCTACGATCGGACTCTCCCGAGACAACAATCATTCTGACACATTTAGCGAGCCTAGATGAACTGGATGAAGCATCCCGTAAGATATTTGACCAGTATGAGAAGGATGTTGCAAGAGGCTGTGATCAGGAACAATGCGCTCTCTTCTACTTGGAACGATTACATATCATCAGATCAAACTTTTGGCTCAAAGAGCTGCTGAGAGTCAGCAATAGCGACCAAGAAATCTTAACAAATATTCAATCTGTAACTAATAAAGCATGTGCTATGAACTAACATGCTGGCTTCGCGGTGTTCTTGACTAGAGCCTGGGAAGAACTTGTCCACATATCCTTCTACAGGTATACAAAGTGGCATTGACCTGAATCTCAGTTACAATGGAAAGGATCCTTTTTAAAGTTTAGGCTCGAAACGTGTCGACCTAGTGAATTAATTGAGTTTGGTCCTGATTTACCTTTGCCCCAACAGTCTTGAATCTCACACTGTACTGGGCAAGCTCGAGGGACGTTCGATTCCTATATAAAGACCATCACCATTTTACAGAGCATGCATTTTCAAGTCCTCTTGGCCTTTCAAACACGAAGTGCTACATCTCAAAGCATCTACGCACGCAACTAGCTTCTGAGAGAATCGATATTGACGTTGGGGCCTTCACCACTCAAGTCATCTATATAAATTCTCTATTCTATACATCTATACCTCTTTGTCTTTGTGTTTACATCTTACCCTTCCTCCTTCTATTACTATAATTCTTTTTATTCTCCACCAGAGGTTACAAAAAAAATGATCGCATCACCAACCGCCGTCGCCGTCGACGAGTTCATCAAGCAAATGTCCACGGTTTTCAAGAGCAATGACTACATTGAATTTCCCGGCGCGCAGCTGCAGGTTATGCCAGAAAAGCACTGCATTATTACATGGGACACTCGCCAGGACGACAGCTGCCCAGGTCACATTCTGAAATGGGACGACACAAACGCCGACTACATCATCGTCACCAGCTCTCAGTACTCAAAAAAAGTTGCCTCTCGAAAGTCCAACTCGCCAAGGGCCGTACGCTTCATGATCCCAGCCAAGACTGAATGCGGAATGCGACAGCTCGTGCGCGACACAATGGAGGACCTCCAGAAGGATCCAGAACTTCAGGAGAAGGCTGCAATAAAGTCTGTTAGCCTCGTGGAGGATACGCCACGCAAAGCGGTTTGGCATCTTACACGAACTGAGGAGCGACGAGACTGAACTTTAAGAAACTCAAAAGCGGCTGTACAGTGAAAACACTGACATGGAGTTTGGGCACTAGCGGAAGTCATTTGCCTCGGCAAGTCTATGTTTGAATATGTGTAATTGTTTGGAAATAAAGATTGGATGGAGGCTACTTCGCTGGAGATGTAACATTTATTTGGGGAGGGATTCCGGCTGTCACACTCCATACAGATTCACTTCATGTAATTAAATTATGAATTCCCCGTCGAGTTGGGTACAATGTCATATGAATTCACCGACTACTTGCTTGGTGTAGCTACGGCACCTTATTCTTTATTCTTGCGGTCCCTCATTTACTTTCGAGTCGTATGAGCGTAAATCTACCCACCAACCCCAAACGTAAATTTGGCACTGACGGCATGATAGGACGAGCCAAGAACTTATTTCAATGCAGCAATAAGGCACTACTGCAATTAGTATCTAAGGGCAAAGTTGATGTGCCATAGTAGCACAATGATACGCTCCGTCGAGAAAGGTAGCCTTCATGGCGTCGAGAACAAAGCTTGCATTTGAATCTCACGGGAAATGTATCCACCATGGCCAGCTTATGCCCCCCTCGCCCTCATGAAGTCAACCAGATCAAAGAAGCTCTTCTTGAAATACCTTGTCTGCGTCGTACGATTCACCACCTGCAATCCGAACTGCGCGTCATAGTCTCCAAATTCCCAATTATCTGCGAATGACCAAGCATACGCACCAATTACCTCCACACCATCCTCCCAGATGGACTTGAGAACCTCGGACATATAGCTCAGGTAGTAGGTACTCCGGGGAGAGTCGAACAACTGGTCAGACAATGCCTTTTCTGACTCTGCAAAAATGGGGAATCCAAACTCTGTTATGGCGATTGGGGTCTTCCATGTGTTGTACAGATAGTTGAGGTAGCTTCGCAAGTACGTGGGAGTAATGTAGACATAAGACTGTGAACGATATCCAATGTCCCAGCCATAGACATTGACTGAGGTTTGATTGACACAGTACGGTCTGAATGCCGACGACGAGTTAGCTGCGCATTCCAGGACGCTGTTGGAGTCATTGGGAACCGGAGGAGCCACGACGGTTGCGGTGTACGGATCGATGCCGAGGAAGTCGGCTGTACCTCCAATGTATCGCAAATCCTCTTTGCTCAGAGGGATGTAATCAGGGAAAGTCTTTTTAAACGACTCGGGGTAGTCTTTTCCTAGATAGATGGGGTCGCAAAATGGCCCCAGTTGGATTGAGTTGAAGTGGTTGGTAGCATACACATCAGCCTCGCTGTTTGGGTTCCGGGGCACACCAAAGTTGTTATTGAACTTGAGAGAGATGCGTCCAGTCCCCTTTAGCTCCTCCTTGTAGAAGTGGTAGACTCGGGCGTGAGACTTGATGACGTGGTCAATGGACTTGGCATTGTACGAGTAGAGCAGGGGCTCATTGAAGGTGAACCAGATGGGAACCCTATCGGCGTAGTGTGTCATGGCGACCTTGGCGTAGTGGACAAAGGCGTCCGGGAAGGACTCGTTCTGGTACGCACCGTTCACGTATCCAATCTCGGGCTTGTCGGCGGCCGTTGTGAGGTTACTCCCGTAGAACTGGAGGGGCGTGTCATAGTGAAGCAGAGTGACGACGGGAATCATGCCCTTGTCCAGGATGAAGTTGATGACGTCGTTGTAGTGATCAATGCCCCCCTTGTTGACTGGTGTTCCTGGCAAGGCAAAAGGTAGAATGCGAGTCCATGCGAGACTGAAGGAGAAGTACTTGGCTCCCATTGCTGCCACGCGCTCAATGTCCTGCTTGTAGAGATAGTAGTGCTCATTGGTGGTGTAGGACTTTGGCCGCGAATCCCGAACCAGGATGTCCATGAGAGACGGAGATTTGCCCTCATCAGCAGCAGCGCCTTCGATCTGGGAGGCGGAGCTGGCCACTCCAAAGGAGAAGTTGGCTGGAAAGTCGTAACAGTCGGTCGGTCCAAAGTAGTCTCGAGGAGGGAGCACCAGTTCGCCGGTGGCAACGGGTGTGGGAGACACAGTTGTGCTGTACAAAGCCCTTTCCGTGAAGTTTGGTGGGTTGGCATGCTGCCAAAGGGCAGTCCAAGCAGCTTGACCATATGGGTCGTTGGTATCGTTTGCCTTGACGGGAGCATTGCGATTCCAGTTGCCCCATGTGGTATACGACAGAGAAGGGACCAAGGCAGACACAGCATCAGGAGGAGGAGCGTATGTTGTTGTAGCCGTCGGAGCAGGTACCGATGTGGCATATCGGACAGTTTCTGTGAGCGTGAAGCTGAAGGGCTGATAGGAATAGTGAGGCTCCTTGACCTTTGAGCGTGGGCATTGTGGTCGCGGTGTTGGACCTTCAGCAGGCACGTAGACTTGTTGTGCCGACGATATGTAAGCCAGGACGGCCTGGCCCAAGAGAATAGAAGAGCTCTTCTTCATGATGCAGGAACCTATTGCTGTGTAGACTCTGGCAGCCCCATGTTTGGGATACCGCAGAGCTTGCTTGGTTGCCCGTGGGTATAAATAGCTGAGCTGTCCGAGACGGTTCCCATCGCGACACGAGCTGGAGAGCACAGCAGAGAGGCCTATTTATCCATCGGACCGATTGTAGTCTAGGAATGGGTTGACATGGCAGCGCCACTGATGTCCGGATTATATTTACCATCCCTCGTACTCCATATTGGAGTCATGGCAGCTGTTCGGCCTAACTACCCTGCAACCTTCATGGTGGTCTCATTGGACGGCAAGGCTTGAACGGAGAAATAGCCAACGGCTTGTATGGCTTTGTTTGTGATGGATGCTGAGGAGGACGATCATTCGGATGCATTTCACGCGGACTCATTTCCCCGCGTGGGGTTCCAATTTCCCCGATGCAAAGATAGGAGTGGAGGCAAAGTCTGGGGAAAACAATTTCCTTGTTCACAACCCGGATTAGTACGTCCTGAAGGCGTCTTGGGCGGGTGATAAGTTGGCACTTTGTACAATTATTCGCGCAAGTGTCGATCGGCTAGGATCAAACGATGATACAAGAGATGAGCAGGGACTGGTGGAGAGGATGATCATGGTTTGAGACAATTATTCGCGTCAAATTTTCCTCGCAATTATGCCGAGCATTTCTGGAAAACGTGAATTGAAATGAATAGTATAGTTGGCCTTTGGAACCACGAGATAGACACAGAAAATGAGACTCATAGTATTGTTCTTATTGACACCGAGTTAATCCGTAGTACGGTACACGCAGTGCCAGTATACACTGACTACTAGAGACTCTGACTGCGCCGTTTAGGCAAGCTTTTTCGCATACACTTGCTCGATAAACTTCTCATCCTTCTTAGGCACGCCCAAGAGCTCATTATCATTCTTCTGGAAGTCGCTACCGTGCTCGGGGTCGAAAATAGATCGATACAGGTATGGCATAATGGTGTGAAAGTCCACGATCCCTTGTGCTAACCTCTTGTCAGCTTCGGCAGTGGCCTCATCGAGAGTAGTGTGCTTAGGCTGCCATGGCTTGTTGGGGGCCACCTTCTTGGCAATGGCCAGCAGGTCATTCTGTGATATCTTGACGTCCCCCAAATACACAGCCCTGTTCTTGGTTTCGTCGGGATGGGTCAGCACGCCTACCACGCCGTTGCCAACAGTTTCCAGAGACGTAGAGTTGAACACCTGGTTCCCGCCGTTGTAAATCGTCGGCTGATAGTTTGACACATCCAGGAGGAAGTTGACTTCGATACCCCAGTCCAAGAAGGCACCAGTGTAAATATATGTGTAAGTGAGAGAAGAAGACTTGGACTTTTCAGCCAAGTAGTCCTGGATTTTGACCTTCTCAAGGAACGGCAGCAGCGTTCTATTCTTGGCATTGCTCAAATCACCACCAAACTCTGAGGGGATGAATCGCTTGACCCCGGCCTTGATGGATGCGTCGATCAGTTGGCGCTGAAGGCCCAGAGCTGTTGGCCCTAAAAGCGCAATCACGGCATCTTGGCCCTCGAGTGCCGTAGCGAGAGCGTCAACTGATGAAAAGTCGGCTTCAACGACTTTTGTGCCGGCAGGATACTGAGTGGTGGAGTTTGGCCGTCTCAGAACCTGGATGTTGAACTTGCCGGAATCAACGAGCTTCTTGAATACCGCTCCGCCAAGGTTGCCCGCAGCGCCGACAACTGTGACGTTCTTAATAGCCGACATTGTTGGTTGATGGATATTGACTATGATGCTGACTGGGAATTTTATTTTGCGTGAGGTGCCCTTCTCTGGGGATATGTGTCAGGTGTTGTGTATTCAATCAAGTGTGTCGTTTGTCTCGTGACTGCTGGCAAAGGCTGGTGCATAGCAGCGCTGCAACGAAATTATATATTCTCATTACCAGATTCGAGAACATCCCACATTTGAATCGATGCAACATTGCATCACCATGGCGAAGTATCAAAAATCGGGTTCCACTGCGTTGAGATGGCACATAACAACCAAGTGGGATTGTCAAAGTGCGATATCAGGCCTGACCAAAGTTTATGGTTTGATAAAGATGCAGAGTGGGATGCCGAGACCATGCATTTGTAACAAAACAAGCAGTCACTACGGAGTATTCAGGGTCAAGGATTCTTTTGAAAAAAATAATTAAGAAATAAGCTGGCTATGCCTAATCAGGCAGTATATCCCACACGCCCAAAGTACCTAAAGTCAACTAGTTTCGTGACAAACTGCACTTCGGAATGTCTCGTCTAATTACTGCACGAAAATGATGCTGTTGTTTCGGTTTCCAACTCGCCGTAATAGATGCATTTACCGCCCCTTCAGCTATGCTACTCTTGGGGTTATATCTGTGGTTACTATCCGCATTGACTGTGTGGAAGTTGAGTTTAGGAGATGGGCTGACTTGTCTTTTTGCCAAATCAGAGCTAGCGTTCTTGGCCGTTTGAAAATCCACTCCCCTAATTTAATTTCGCATCATGAGTGTCCACGAGTGGGGTCTATCTATTGAATCTGGCCCCTAATTAGTCGCCTGTTTCACACACTAGTCATACATCCGGCGCGAGCGCATAAGGGATCGGATTTCTAATTGTCGGCCAGATAATCTTTCTCTGTTCGCATCCCATCCCACTTTCTTGCCGACTTTGTCAACTACATCGGCAGTTGAGCTTTCAGTTAATCGTGTTATTCTTGTTCTCGCGATGTTTTTCAATTCAGTATATTATGTAATGTTTCACCCAGTGATGCAATTCACTCGAGACAATTACCGGAGGAGAAACATTTCCAGCCCTGATTAAAATTCATTTCAATTGGTAAGAATAGTTGCCGAAACCGCTGGTGAGATGCAACAGACCCAAACAACCAACCCTTTACCGCTCCCAACACCCAATCGAGACCGCATGGGATGAAGCCGGTCTTGAGAAGCCTTGGCCATTGACACACATTGCTAACTGTCAGATATTAGACGCACGCGGCCAGACTCGTGCTGTAAATCTCCACATATCGACGTCAATTCTGCATCTGATTTACATTTCGGCTCGCTCTCCTGCAGCACAGCCGCCCGGTGGGAGAGACATCGTGGAGAGGACCAGCCACATTGAACAGCATCCCCCATTTTTTAAAGGCTTATTTGAGGTCTGTTCGGGCCCCCTCGGGCACATGGCAGATACAACTCCCAGCCGACACATTTGTCATTGCGGCAAGTCTTTCATCCGCAAGGAACACCTGCGGAGACACCAAGCTTCACATACCGGGAGGTCATTTCGGTGCGAAGTTTGTGGCCGGTCTTTTACGCGAAGGTACTGTTTGACGGGAGAATGCGGAATGGACTTTAGGCTAATAGGAGCTTAGTGACCTGCTTCGTCGACACGCCACTCTTCATGATAGCGCAACCGCGTCACACGAGCCTCGCAGAGACAGGGCTTGTGATACCTGCCATGCCAACAAGACGAGATGCAGCGGGGGCGTGCAGTGCTCCTTGTGTGTCAAGAGAGGAGTTGCCTGCACGTATAATCGAGGCAACCTCGATTCGCACAAGAAAAATGGTTTCGTCCAGGCTGAGCCACTCTCCGTCATGTCGAGCGATGGAGGCTCCAACTCTTCACCAAGCTCAGGCTCTCCCGAGCTGCTGACACTAGAGGCGCCTTTCCTGCTTCAAATAGAAGAGACCGAAGATCGCGATGCAAGTCAACAGCTAAATTTTAGCAGGTCGGCAGGCCTCAACATTTTGTTCAGAGTTCTCACAAAGCAGCTGCCAGGATCTCCTTCTGAGCCCCAGGCAATCCCACGACTATGGCTGACAGCCCGCATCGAATCTTACTTAGCGACCTTCCACACACGATGGCCAATTCTTCACGCCCCGGTGATTAACGAGATAACAGACTCTGTCCAAGTTATCTCGACAATTGTCATGATAGACTCTTGGCTGCATGGCGATGTGAAATTGAAGGATCAAATTTTACAGATTCATGACTGCCTTGTTCGGCAGCTTCACAAGGAATTGGTAAGAGATATGGGAAACTGCTTGTGCATGTGTATCTCGAGCCTCGTACTCTGACACGCTCCAGAATCAATCCGATCTAGACCCCACACATCCGTGGCCAGTCGACCTCTATCAGCTTTCGCTTCTCAATGTTATTTTCGCTTTCGAGACAGGAGTAAGTGTTGTGTGCCTTGGCTGTCTCTCCTACTCTTCCCTCCCCTATTTGCTCTCTTCATGGCCAGCGAGTTACTTCTTGACTACTGGCCGAGTGTACGCACGCTGGTTATCGTAAATCAATCATTTCGGCTACATAGCGAGATACGCCGTGGACGTATACTTGTTACCCCCCTGACTACACACACTCGTATTCCTTGACCTAATCACTAATATCGCCGTAGAGAGACAATACTATCAGGCAATCTCGCATGCTATTTAGCCTGCTTGTTACGGCTCTACGTATGAATGGTTGCTTGCACGGAGACGCTGTTGAGTCTCAGCGACTGGCACATCATCCCGGAGACTTCCGGCCATTTATATTTGGGACGACTGAGCGCTGGAAGAGGTATGGATCCAAGCCACCATAGGAAATTTCGTTGAAGCTCACACTTTCTTCCTACCTAGAATTGCCACTTGCGCACTGAAAGTAGATGCCTATTTGTCTCTCTTGTACGGTCATCCGCCTTTGCTGCGGCGCGACGAACTAGAGTTGGGTTTATCGTCAACATTTGCCATGTGGAACTCGTACGGGATCATGGTGTTCTTCGACCGCAGCCGCAGTGAGCCATGGTCTCGCGGTAACTATAAAATGTCACGACTGAACGTGAGAAACCCCGAAGAAGTACCTTCCGGAATCTTACCAGAGGACATTCAACTATGTTTGCTCGGAATGTGGAATGACATCCGGTCACTCAAGAAAGAATCGACGCTCAATCGAGACATGGCCATGCTGAAAAAGGCCGATCTATCTCAGCAGCTTTATCTCGCCCTAGAACAGCTGGAAACCATCGTCGCCGAGTCACGAAAACCCCTGGTTGCAGGGGGGTACACGGCCACGATTCTCAAAAGCTACCTCGGGTGCGAGCCCTCCCGCGGCCCAAATTGGCGACAAGAAGTGACGAACCGACTGGACTTGTGCATCTCAAACATCAGGCCGCTTCTCCTCTTGCTCACGATTCATCTCCACGCGGACGTCCACACCCTGCGAGAGATTTATCTCTCCCCCGCACCTCTTCAAATGGAGCCCACGCCCGCCTCGCAGACATGGCAACAAAACGTGCTCAAAGTACAAGAATGGGCGCTGTCTGCAGATGGGAGAACAGCAGCCATCGCGTCGTTGCAGACGTGGTTCGCGTACGAATCATCGCTGCTGATCAACCCTGGCCAGTCGGCGCACGCCCTCGATCCGATTGTGTACCTGGCCCTGTCCGCGGCGGCCATGGTCCTGTGGGCATGGACCATGAACGACGCCGAGGTCTGTGTCTGTCACCCCACGACGCCAAAGGCAGAAGTCACCAGCAGCAGTATGCATCTACAGCCTGACGTGCAGAACTGGATTCGGGGCGGCGGAGGCGGCATTTCTTTCCTGGGCCAACCAGTCTGCAAGTGTACCGTTGCTCAGCGCCTTTCTGCCTGGACCGAGGCGTTGGCGAAAGCCGGCAGGACGTGGGAAAGAGCTGGTGTGGACGCGAACATGTTCCGTTGCTCGTGGCTGGGGACATAGGTGCCTATTTTAGGCGGGAAAGACGACTGGCATACTTGTGGGATTTTGTTTATAGTCATGCATTCGGGACAATAGCAGAGGAACGAGGGATTGAAACCCAGCTTCGGCCTAGACAAGAAAGTGAGTACATGGTGGCAGGTATGATGAGGAATGATGCACATTGTTATGTTTTTCCTAGAATCTCTGTACATATCTTGCCCGAAATATAGAGAGAAATATATATGCACTCCCTGCCATACCACTCGCGCGATGTCCTTACCAGCTCACCCTTGTCCGGATATCGGAATCCCTTGAAACCTTGATTAATGAAGATTATCTCAAAATCTTCCGCCCTCCAAAAGGCAAAAGGCAAAAGGTACAAAAAAAAAAAAAAAAACTAGTTACTCGATAGACATGGCGCTCCACTTAAACAGCAAGGAGCCCATATCGTCCCCCTTGAACCTGGGCTGCGGCCCCCCGGCCAACATCCTCTTGCCGGTTTCCTCGGGCAACGCAAAACTGATATCCCTAAACGAGTTTCTCGCACCGTCTAGATTTTCAAAGTACCTCTTGGCCATTTGCGGCAGCGACGTCTTTGCCTGCCAAGCAATTGCCTTGATGGCCTGTAGAATATACCGGCACATGGGGAAGTCTCCGCCCGTCTCCCCTATGAGATAGGCTGCTTTGGCAAACAGTTGGTGCACAGAAGGGTCGGCCAGGTGGTATACCAGGACGAGGATGGAGTTGTAGGTCCCGGCAATGTTGATGCATGCGTAGTCGCGGAGGGTGTAGACTTTGACGAAGCGGTCCATGTTGTCGATGTCGATTTGGCAGAAGCTCAGTTGTAAGGCTTTGACGGTCCAGCCGGGCTCAATCTCGGTTTGGGGGGAAAGCGGTCGAAGAATACTAAAGAGGACCTCGTTCATGTATGCCCTGCACAGGTTGATTAACAAGGTGCCATGTAAATGGTAAAAGGGGAAGGGAGGAAGGGTTGGAGGAGTATCTTGTACCGAAGATAGCATGTCTGTGGGGTAAAGTTGGTATCATCCCGCAAGTTTGGAGGCAATCTTGCTCTCCACTGGCGTACCTCGTCAATCATATCTCTACGTCTCTCGAGATCCTGCTCAGTACCCCATATGCTTTCTGACCTGAAATTCCAGTCCATTGATTCGTAGAGCATACCGGTTATATCACAAGCTAGATACAATGCGCCGGTGACAAATGGGGGCGATCGACTCTCACTGGTGTGCGGGTTACCAAAGAGGTCGATGTTGGGTACTGGTCCAGCCTTTGCAGGGGGTGGTGGCTCGAAGCACCGCGGGATTTGAGGCGGTGGGATCAACGACTGCTGCAAATACATGTATCCAACGATGCTTTGGATGGTTAGCCCGTCAAGTCGAGGTAGCACAAGTGAAGAAATGGCAGGCGTCAGAGCTAAGACAAACCTCTCAAACAGAAAAAGACCCCATGCTAGCCGGGACAGGACGCGTCTCTCACGGGCGGCTAGAGGATCGTCTTTTACTCTCGCATACATGGCATCGACATTGAGTTGGTGAAACATATCATATGCAGAAATACGATATAACTAGCTCGGATGTTAGCACGTCGTTGCAGGGTGTGAAGATTTCTTTTTCTCGATGAAAGGATGAGCAAGAAACAAATCGTCGCTGAAATTGCGCCTAAACACCGTGGCAGCCTCCCGAGTCCACTTACACCACCAAGTTTATCAGTGCCTCGATAACAAGCTATGGAGAAGAGTAACGTAAGACCCTGGACCGTCGGGATAGAGACCCGGCCATTCTCAAGATGGAGCAACTTCTTCGCTTCGTTGAAGAACTCGTCAGCTAAATCCTTCTTGCTGATACCGCTGAACGCTCTAGTTCGCCGACAAGTATACTGCAGCGCCGAAGAAACAGTTAGCAATCTGTTATACAGGTTCCCCAAGCGATAACACAGTCGAGATTGAATACTCACAGACCTGTCTGCACATATGGCATTGACAAGGAACGGCGTGCAATACTTGGCCGCCGCAACATTTCCCGCCCTCATCTCTTCCAGAAACGCCTCCCTGTCAAGAAACGGCAAGTAAAAAGCATCGTCCCAGTTGAAAAACGATGAGATGAGCTCCGACACTATGCCATCGCCGGCCACTGCGGTCCACGGCTTTGCATCAACCCGAATGGCGCCTTCCCGCAACGCAAGGAGGTCCAACCTTTCCAGTCTCGAGTCCAACAGAGCGGAATAAGAGGATGAATTAGGGTTGTTGATCAGCAGGCTGGCCTCCTGGACAGACCGCAACACTTGTATAGGGTCATCGGCAACCTTTAATCTCGAAATGACTTCCTGTCCTTCCTCGGTCGGCAGCTTATGCAGCAGCTTGAAAAGCTCACGCAACTGCTCGTTCTCCTGTCTAAGAGACGTGTTGCGATGCCTCAAGGCCACAGTACTGGCCGACTCGTCCTCCTTGATGTCATTGTTACAAGTGACTCCTCTGCGGGCACAGGCGCCGCATGTCGGCCTCTTGTCATCACACTTTTCTTTGCGCTTGCGACAATTGGCACAGGCAGAGGCTACCTGTCGACGTTTTTGGCGAACAAGTGAGAGCTTGTCATTATTCCTGCCGCTGTGGATGATGACGGTCGAGGGAGATGGCAGCAAGAGTGGGAGTCGGTTCTCCATGGGGAGAGGCGATGCCGTGTAGCCAACTTTGGTTGCTGCAATCGAGATGTTGCAAAGGGCCTCAGGTCCAAAGGACGTGGTCGGGATAGGAGCAGGATCGTGGGAATGTAAGGAGGCAGGCGTGACAGATCGGCCCTCTCTGTACTCGGTACAGAGAATTGACTATGCACCCCCCCTTCCCAGCGTCTGTTGTTTGTCTAAACCCCAACCCTGGCCGTGAGCACGAGCACGGATCCCGATGCTGGTGATGTTCTGTCCGCTTGTCAAGTATGAGGTAGCCCACCACCAATAGGCTAAAAGGGTTGCGGGTTTTAAGTAGATGGCATCTGGAGCACTTGCAGCTTGCCACTTGGACACTTTTAAGTTGGCGTTTGCCCCAGTCCTGCACCGTTTGGTGTTGCTGGTGCTCTTGTAGGCATTCCGTGACCGTCAGCTCTCAGGCTTCCCAAGTTCCCATCTTCATATTTACCTGCTTGGCCAATCACAGGGTGGCCTCGCTGAAGCTTGCTCCCCTCCCCGCAGTAAATCCCCCCCCGGCCCGTCTCCATCTCGAGCTTCTTCCCCACTACGTAGTAACCCGCTTGGCCCAGTCTCCCGAGTCCCGATGCCCAGATAACTCTTATTCCGTACTCCATACATGCAGTGTACATGCGCAGATATGTATGCTACCGAAAGATGCTATTGAGTGGCTCGAGAAGGCCTCTGATTGCTCAAAGAAGTTACCCGGCTCAGGTTCTGCCCAGCAAAGACTTGTACGGAGTATGCTTCTCCTAGTTTCATTACTCCGCTGTCGATCCCGCGCCACGGAAGCGCTAGTCCAACGATTCGACTTTTTTCTCCGACCAGTTGTCGAAGGCTATGCGCATGTGGGCCAATTTGGCGGCTTCGTCTCATGTCTCAAAGCAATGTACGTTTGCTATCTGTGCGCCTCATCCTCGGCGGGTTTCTGCAAGCCCTGATTTGCTAGCTAGCTATCAAGGCACGGAGAAGTGCTGAGCAAATCCTCGCCAAGGCGGTGCAGCCAAGTCGGCTCCTTGCCCTAAAAGACATGATGCACTTCTAAACACATATTAGCGTCCACTAGTGGTTTTGAACTTGTCTTCTTCATTTTAGGATTGTGCAAAAATTGGAAACTAGACCTAGGGATATCTCTTCTCTAAGACCCAAGAATCGCTCATCACCGGACCCCCGCAAAAACCAAAAACCGCAATCAGTCAGTCTTTCCCCGTCCGAATACAATGCAAAAAGAAACGTCAAAGTAAAAGGGAGAAATTGGTAAGACTATCCGTGTCACAGTATCGAATTGCAACACAAGGGAAAGTGTCGTCAAACCCACCCAAACGCTCCGACTCCAAGGGTATAGCTCGAGCGTTTATGAAATCGGATCAATGGCTCGCTAACTGGGCAAGAGTTCAGGGTAATTCGGTCACTTCATCTTGACATAGTTGCTGGGGAATATGCCATGTCTCGTTCCAATCATGCCGGTCCTGGAATTTCAGTTAGCACCCATTGTCATAGAGGGAAACAATGCACGCGGCATTTCTACATACCACCAATCGTTGTCGCTGTCAGTCTTCTTCAACACAGTGATGATTTCACCCTTCTTGAATCCTAAATCTCCAGGCTGGTCTGCGTCAAAGTTGAACAACGCGATAGCTTCGTTCTGCTTCAAAGAAGCTTCCCTATCGGCACCGAACTTGGGTTTCGGGGCTGTAGGCCTGCCTGGACCAACCCTCTTCTCGTTCGCCCCACCATTTGAATCGTTGTATCCTTGGCCCGATGCGAATGTATTCGATCGTGACGGTGGGTTGAAGTCCTGTCGGTCGTAAACGTCGTCCTTCCACGTGCTGGATCGACTCGGTCTGCCAAATTCACCTTGTCCAAGCCCGGTTCCTGTGCGATCTCGCTGAACTCCCTGGCCATATGCATTTCCTCTACGACCCTCCCATACCACATCGTCATGGCGATCGTCGTACACGGGCATATCGTTGTACATGGCGTCATCGGTCACGGAGCCAGCTCGCATGCCGCTAAATACTCTAGAGTTCAGAACAGACATGAGGGAGTCGGCCGCGGGCGGAGGAGAAACAGCACCGCTCAGCAGCTGCTGGGCTGTGAATCTAGTCCCATACAGCTTCTCGTTTGCGTCGCGGCGCTCAATAATGGCCATCCCTTCGAGCGAGACGCCAGCGAATAGGCCCTTGGTCTTGGAGTAACTGAAAATACCCCCCACACTCTTGAGAGACGCAGCACCAGCAGCTTCAGCGTTGCGACCTACCGGGCCCGCGGCGAGTGATACATTTCCGCCCAGTGTGATGGACCCCATCTGGGCAAACGTCTTGACGGCATTTGTATCGTTGAGTACGAAGACAAAGTCGGTCAGTTCGAAGCCGATCTGGCCTCCGAAGCCACCTCCAGCCGCTGCAATAGCACTGGGGGCACTCCATGACCCATTAGGAAGGCGGGCGACAACAAGACCACTGCCAACACGGCCAGACCCAAGGAAACCGGCCTTCAGAATGGTGATGATAGCGAAGCCTTTCGCATTGGACAGGATTGACGGCGGAATAACTTTGTCGGGACCAAAGGCTTGTCGCGGGTTGACAAATGAAGTGAGGATCTTTCCGCACTTCCTACACTCCGCTATGGTTGAAAGAAAGCAACGACAGTCAGCGGGTTGGTCCGATGTCCCGGCATGCCAGCACCGGCCGGGCATTGAAACAACGAGATGGGTCCGGTAACTCACACTTCAGAGATGCAGGGAGGGGGTTGTTGATTCCCATGGTGGTCTATCTCCTCGCGTATCTTCCGTTCAATGCAGGAGATTTGGGACGCGTTTGGCCGAGAGAAATGGCGCGGTGGGAATGAAGGTGCGAGAGAGCCAAGAGAGGGCGACGAGGATTGGGAACTGATGTCAGCGGGCGCGTTGTGAATGGCGAGCCACCTAGGGCGGGGTGGCGGGGGACTGACGACAAGGCCAGCGCCGTAATACGCCAAGCAGTGTGCTGCAGCCGGGAAGGTGGAGGACATCTGGAGTCATTTACTCCGCCGTACTCCGTAGTGCAGGCGGCTGCCTCACCAGTCTTCATCCACCACGAGAAACTTACTGCTGTGGTACTTCGTACTGAGTGCCAGCTCCGACAGCTCCGACGACCTAGGACCACTCCCCTCGTCGGGGCCGAAACCAGCACAGCGTTAATATCCATTTACAGGTCCATCTACAGGTACACTCCCTCTCAGAGCACTTCAGTTCATTTGCTGTCAGTATTTATCCCGTTCCAAATAATAATAAAACATTTGTCGTGCCTCTCTGTCCTTTTTGTCCTTGAAACCGGCCGTCCTGCCGCCACGCCGCGTGGGCGTGTGTGGCTGTGCTCTGCCACTCGTTACATCGAGACCCTGCCAGCCGCGGCCGGAGCGTCATTGAACAACCGTTTCCTTGGCCCCTTGCCACTCCAAAGACAACCAGGAACCTGTGTCAATCCCAACTCCACGCCAGCATCCACCAACAACACAGTCCTAAGCCATCACTCACATTGGACACATCCGTATACTGTTCACTGCCCTACGAAGCGCCGACCACCCACGCCGAGAAACGGCAGTGCAGGCCAACCTCGTTTCACGAACCCCCCCTTTTCCCGGCCTCGCCAGGACCCTCCATCCCCAAGTCCGTCCGTAAACCATTGACATCATACAACCTCGCGCCATGTCCGAAGCATACGAGCGCGAAAGGCAAAACGACTCCCGCCTAAACGAGCTTTCCGCCAAAGTATCTGCCCTGCGCGGCGTCACCATCGACATCTACGATCACGCACGCGCCCAGGATGTCATTGACAACACAGTATGGCTCCTGCCTCACGCCCTCTTCCAGAAAAAAAAAAAAAGTATCTGAACGCATCTTGAAGCACATCTAACGAGCCTCCAGAATGAGACATTTTCAAGCATGACGTCGCAGATAAAAACCGGAGCAGGAAGAATGACGAGGATGGCAGCGTCCGGCAACAAGGTCGCCATCTTCAAGCTATCAGCCATCATTGTCGCGCTATTTCTCGTCTTTTATTATGGCTTGAAGCTGGTTTTGTGAGAGCGCATACCCTACGACAGAGGAAAATGACGTACTCGAAATGCTGACTGGAACGAAGCAGTCACATGTAGGGTTTCCAAGGCGGTGCGGTGCTAGCAGCGGAAGTTCTTATTTTTGTCTCTCGGCTCAATTATCAATATTTAACCCCGTACATAGCTGCAGACCACGCGCTCCATCGGGTCAGCTAGCAGGGGCGATAATGGCCGCCCGGTTGGGAGCGGAGCGGTGCGGCGATATCATATAAACGTTGGATTTTGTATTTCAACGGCATTGGAAACGGGGATTAACTACCCTTGGCATTTGGAGTTGGCGTTTGACAAAGTGTTTTATATATTAGCCTAAGCAACTATTCTTGAAAAGCACTTCTTGATCACCACAGCCGCCACCGCAAACGGCGCCGCCCCACAACACATTCTAAAAAACCCATCTTCTCCAATCCTCCTCCTTTGGTTTTATGCTGGATTCTAAATGGACGCCTGACACGTGAACAACAAAACGCCACGAACATGCTTGCCTTTGATCCCCAATGCTTGAAGAATCCACCAATCACTACCAATTGACATTGTATTTCATCGCAGCGTCGTCTACTGCCAGACATTGGAGAACAGATCATCGTCACCGCCAAAGCCTGACTTTGGAACAACAGGTTTTCCTGCATTGGATGGCCCAGTACTACTTGCCCAGCCTCCGAATTCTTCGTCTGCAGTAACCTTTGGTGCAGGGTTGAAACCCCCACTGGCGCCAGGCACAATTGGTGTGTTGGCAAACGAAGAACTAGAATTTCCCCATCCAAAATCGGCTGACGGGGCCGGGGCCGGGGCTTTGAGCTGCTGAGGACTCGGGGGTGCCTGTGCCACCGGAGCTGTTGTAGCAGCAGGAGCAGGCGTTGTCCAATCGCTGGTGCCCCAGACATCAGCAGCAGACAAAGCAGCGGAGCCGAAGGCTGGTGAGGTTGTTGCAGGAGCGAGGATCGCAGGTTTGGTTTGTGGAGAAGACACCGTGAAAGCAGAATTGGCCGTTGCAGAGGGTAAAGAAGTCTGAGGCAGCGGGGGAGATCTCTGCGTCGTCGGAGCCGAAAAGTCGAAGAGGTCGTCCATGGCGGAGGATGAGGACTGTAAGGGCTTAGGCGCCGGCGCCGTAGCTGTCTGTGTATGGGGGGAGGAGAAGGGCGAAAAGCCTTCGAATCCAGAGTTGGAAGGCTTTTGCTGATGCGAAGTGGCCGACGGCTGGACAGGCTTTGGGTCAAAGAAGCCGCCTCCACTAAGACCACCGAACGCACTGGCGTTAGAAGTATGCTGGGGTTTGGCTCGATTGCTTGAGGATGTGCTTGCAAGGCTGGCAAAAGGGTCGGCAGCAGCGGGCTTTGGGCTTGCTGTGGTCGATAGATTCAGGCCACCAAAGGCATCATTGAAGCCTCCCATCGAGCCTTGCTGCTGGTGGCCCATACCTCCAAACGCTTGTTGCTGAGGTTGAGGCTGAGGCTGGGGCTTGGGCGCGGAAGCATAGAGTGAGAGAATAGACTGCTTGAGGTCCGGTCGTGACTTTGCTCCTTGTGAAGCAGCTCCGGGGGTGCTAGCTGGGCGAGGAGGGGCAGCTGAGCCTCCCAGGAAGTCAAGGCCAAGCAATGAATCTCGTGTGTTTGTTGTTTTAGGGGCCGCAGGCTCAGCTTTGGGTGCGATTTTCGCAACCGGGGGGCCGGTCGTACTTGATCGCGAGGGAGGCCCGTCGTCACCGCCGATCAAGTCGGCCTCGGGCGCGCGAATATGTTGCGGGGCCTGGGATTTCCCGATGGATGCCTTCCTGATTGACTCCTTCTTCTCAATAACCTGCTTTTCCTTTACCAAACTCAGGGGAACATCATCGTCGCCGTCGACATCCAGGGTTGAAGGGTCCGGCATCGGCCCGTCCATGACCCATCGCTTCAGTTCATATTTGGTTCGGATGAAGTTCTCGATCTTGGCTTCGGACGGGGCGTGGCCAGCAGCAAGTTTGGCTTCCCAGTATTTGTTGGCGCGAGCGTTTCCCCAGCTCAATATGCTCTGCATTTGTTCGTCGGTCCATGAATCGAGATCAACAGACTTGACTCTGCTGATGTGGGTTCCCATGCCTCGGTGAATACCAGAGCATCGAATACAGACAAAGACGCCCAAGTTCCAGCTGGCCCATCTTGGATCTGAAGTGACAGTCAGCTCACACACGGCATGATGAAGAAGGGCATCAATGGGTTTCGATACGCACGCTTGTTTCTCTTGCAGTCAGCACACACTTTGTTAGGCTCCAACCTCAGGAGGTTTTTGATAGTGGCCTGGTTTTGCGCCGCACGGTCGGCAGAGGGGTTCGGTGCCCGTCGAGACATGTTGTAACGCTACTAATCTTCTCTCGGGACAATGACGGATGGTGTGGAATGATGGACAGAGCCAGATAATCGCCGCCGCGAGGAAGGAAGATTATGATGTCAAACACAAAAGGAAGAATGGGGGGTCGTTGTGTGTGTCTGTCGTGGCGGCACATAATTCCAGAATGAAATTGCTCCCACCCCCAAACTGACCAGGGGTAAGTCTAGCAGTGTGGGGAGCCAGCCACAGCGTGGCCTCAAATCTAGCAGGCGGCTGAGTCGAGGTTCCTCAGGCACCAACAGGCTCCAATGATTGATTCCATGTCAATGTTTCTGATTGTAGCAATGAGTCAATGACAAATGGTCCAGAAATGCCACTTCTCATCCCTTTGACTGCGTTAAGGTGCGTTGGATGTATCGAAGTGGGGTTCTAGCTAATAAGAAGCCTTATATTTAAAGGTACATTATGTAACTAGGAAATAATAGGATGATAAAGAGTACCTATTAGTTAAGGTATACTTAAAGCTACTCACTTTAAGAAGGCTTAAGACTATGTCTTAAGGTAGCTGGGATGTACTGAGTAATAGTGGGGCCTATACATCCAACGCACCTTAACGCAGTCAAAGGGATGAGAAGTGGCATTTCTGGACCATTTGTCATTGACTCATTGCTACAATCAGAAACATTGACATGGAATCAATCATTGGAGCCTGTTGGTGCCTGAGGAACCTCGACTCAGCCGCCTGCTAGATTTGAGGCCACGCTGTGGCTGGCTCCCCACACTGCTAGACTTACCCCTGGTCAGTTTGGGGGTGGGAGCAATTTCATTCTGGAATTATGTGCCCAATTGAACCACTCGGCTGCCATTCACTTTCCACCTTGACATGATGCTCCTAATCATAGGCTGCAGGATATCAATTTGCGTGGAGTAATTCAACTGCAGGCAGTGGCTTGTGAGGGAAAGATGGTTTACGTACGGAGTATTGTACTCGGCTACGGGACTCTGTGACACTTGGATTGTGGCTGAAGTCAGACCCTTGTCTGTAATATGTGGGCTTCGAATTATGATGCAAGTCAACAAGTCGGCACCGGGTTCTACAGACTACATTTGGCCACCCCGCGATTTGTCAAACGCTCTTCCTGGCATCCCTGTCGTCGTCAACGATCGTCTCAACGTTCACTTTGTTCAGCCAACTATAAGAGTACTGCCATCGCATAAGCCTTCTCTCCGACATCTCTCCGGCATCTCCCGCCCCGCTACATGTCTCCCATGCGATTTAGACCATTCGTATCAACATTACTGCATACCTTGACCAACTTTACTCGCATCCGAGCTCCGGCGTCACCAGCTCACATCGCCACACTCCGCCCGCTGCCTCTTCGGTCCATGTCTGGTATTCCCTTTTTGGGCGCCTTGTTCGGATCATCTTCTTCAAACTCGACCAAAATGTCGTATCCTGATCAGAGGTCTGATACAGAGTGGCAGGCCGTCCTCAACAAAGGTACGATAAAGTCGGCGCATGAGAGAAAAGAAAAAGATTTGTTTTCCCCACTAACATTAGCCCATAGAGCAATTTCGCATCCTGCGAGAAAAGGCGACTGAGCCTCCTGGATCCGGCAAATTTGACAAGCATTACCCGGAAGAGGGAGTCTACACTTGTGCTGGGTGCCATAAGCCCCTCTACAAGGCCAACCACAAATTCAAGTCTGGCTGCGGATGGCCGGCCTACTTTGATAGCATCCCTGGCGCGGTTACAAGACATGAGGATCGAACTCTGGGTATGACTAGGACGGAAATTGTCTGCTCCAATTGCGGCGGCCACCTTGGTCATGTTTTCAAGGGCGAGGGATTCGCGACGCCGACGGATGAGCGACACTGTGTCAACAGCGTCAGTCTCAACTTTTCACCTGATGACAAAACCGTGGAGAGCGGCTCCAGGGAGAGCAAGGCTTAGGGATACACATGGACGTGTGAGCTGTCAAGACCACTGTGGTGTTTGAGGAGCATTGCGCGCGGCAACGAAGCGGTTGTGAGGCGTTGGTTGGGTCATGAGGAATTTGAAGAAGCGTGTGTGCCGTCTGACCAAAGCATTACGACAGAGTGACGACAAAGGGGATTGACTATACGTATCGAATGCATCTAGAAAAAAATCAATAAAAAATCCTGATGTGTGAAGATTGGCAGCCTTTTGTCCCGCCCCGCACGTGCAGTTATTCAAGCGTAAGCTCGAGGTTCGCGAATCACAAACTGAAGGCAACCGTGTCGCCATCAGTAATTCCCCAAGCCCAAGTCACGGGCCACAGAATTTACAACAAAGGCGCGGCCACGACGGGAGGAAACATGCAGAGGGACTTGCTTGTGATGGATGATGAAACACATGGAACAATAGGAACCTCTGTGGAATTTCTTCTCGAAGCGGCAGTATGTCCGTCAGCGACTACATACAACCGGAGGTCAGGCTCTAATGAGGAATCTGGGGCCCCCCTCGTGACGGGCACAGCAACGTAAATTCTTTGGACAGGTTCATGGGAGCAGTCCGAACATGTGAAAGCGCAGTACGCTAAAATGTGGCTTCTTGATCTGAGGCCAGGACCCACGTCGACGTACAATGCCTCGGTCGCGCAACCAGCTGACATCAGAGATGCGCCGACCGACCGCCATGTCGTCGTTCTCGCCGAGGTCAACCGATTGACCTTGCCAAGGACGGATATATAGCTTCGCCTCCCACGAATCGCAGCGTCGTAGCTTGTTGTCGCCTATACCACATCTTCCCCCTCTTGAATCCCGCCCTCATCTCTTCTTCTTCGTATACCTCCTTCATATCCCACAAGAGCCAAAAATGGGTGGTGAGTAAACCAGCTCTCTGTCCGTGGTTGTGCGGTTCGAAAAAGTACAGATTCCAACAGTTTCGTTGTGTTCAACAGCCCTTGACAGAATTTCTCAGATCGGTGGCCAGATCTCTGGCAACCCTACCGCCGGCGGTCGCGGCAAAATTCTTGGGAAAGCCC